ACTAAGACAAAACCAAACTGCTCAATACACTAGGGATAGCTCACAAAATATTATTGTTGAAAGATGTATTCACATCCATCCATCCATTCACCACCCCTGTCCTTCACTAAGGTTAAGTTCAGAAGGAACAGAGAAGAGTTAAGAACATGACATACGTATGATGTCATCATCACTGCTGGGAACAGAGAAGAGTTAAGAACATGACATATGATGTCATCATCACTGCTAATGAAAAAGTCCTGGTGCTTAGTCCTTTGAGCCTTGGCTCCACTACATTACAGATAGGTTTGAGATTGGATTTGGTTTCTGCTTCTCTCAAATCTCTTTGTTTCTGACCTTGGACAGATCTGAATTGACTGAAAAACACAAGGTGTGTAAGGCACCTCTTTCAATCTGTTTTCATAGAATGAAAACCACACCTGTATAGTAAAGTACACAGTGCTTTTTTTTAAAAAAAGTAAGAAAGTGCCTACAGCAAATGGTTTCAACATCTGCAAATCCTGCTTTCTTGAGCTATATATTTATTTACTGTTATTATTCTGAAATATGGTTGATTTGGTTTTAAGTTCAGACAGAGTTCATTGGGGTTTGATATGCCTTTAGTAGAATTCCATGGGGATAAAGTTGTTTTATTCTCATATCCGAAATTCCTAACCCAATTCACATCTGAATTTGATCGAAATGGTTCTATCAACCTGCTTGCATTTTTTTCCCCCTAGGACAAAAGTTTTTAAAAATAGCAACACAGATTAATGTGAATTGTCCAAACCTAATGAAGGTTACAGGTACTAATATTGGAACTATTTATTCACAGCACATGTACAAAAATCCAGGAAGGTGGCATATTTTTTTGCCCTGTATATTTGACATTTGAAACTAGCAGTCAGTTCTGCACCTGTCACACTACGGTTACAATTCCATACTTCAGGTGTGCTGGTTGAGAGGGGGCTTTAGGATATGGGGAAAGCCCCGTACCCTGGTAAGACAATTTGCTAAACAATATTGCAGATACATTGGTACCAGGCCATGCTGGCATATTACCTTATCTGTATTCCCCTTGCTGCCAGAAAACTCACTGGAGTATTGACAGAGATACAAGAAGGAGAAAGAGACAGCTGTCAAATCCTAAACTCTCCCCAACCATATCTAGGCCACAGGCATAATGTCATACCAAATTCAGAGGTGTTATACAGCAAAAACATCCATGAAATTTGAGAGCACAGCAACAACAAAAACTGCTTTGCGAACATTCCATCTTCACCTACATCACTACAATAAAGCAAAGGACGCAGGCTAATGTATTCTCGAAGGCTTTCACGGCCAAGATCTGATGATTGTTGTGGGTTTTTCAGGCTCTTTGGTTGTGTTCTGAAGGTTGTTCTTCCTGACGTTTCGCCAGTTTCTGTGGCCGGCATCTTCACAACACTGGAGTAGGAACTCAGTCCATGCTCTGTTGCTGTTTGTTGGATAGTTGAGTATTTATAGCTTTGGGAACAGCTTTTGTCATTTTCAGGAGATAGGATGATGGTGGTGATCAGCGTGTTTTTGTTGTGGATGTATTGTTGTGATAAGAGGGAGAGATTATCTGTCACTGTGATTGATGGGTGTCTTTAGCTGGTCTTTTTTGTGCAATGATCCCTGGTCCTTGTGGCTGGGTACAACAAATGTTACGGTCAACAAAGGACAAAAGGAACCCCCTCACCACTGGAGGAGTATACCAGATATCTTGCAGTTGTGGACAGGTCTATATTGGAACCACAAAATACAGCATTTTCACCACAGAATCAAAGAACATGAGAGACACTGCAGACTAAAACAACCGGAAAAATCAGCAGTAGCTGAATATGCCCTAAAACAAGCTGGACATGAAATTCTATTTCAAAATACTGAAGTACTGGATAACACCAGCAAGTGTTATGTTATACTGCACAGGGAAACCATTGAAATCCATAAACACCAGCAAAGCTTCAACAAAAAAGAGGAAAGTCTAAAACTTAATAAGGCCTGGCTCCCAGCACTGGAAAATACAGTCTGCAAAAGATCAGTGAACTCTACTCAGCTAAAGACACCCATCAATCAACTATCCAACAAACAGCAACAGAGCGTGGACTGAGTTCCTACTCCAGTCCTCTGAAGATGCCGGCCACAGAGACTGGTGAAACTTTAGGAAGAACAACCTTCAGAACACGGCCAAAGAGCCCGAAAAACCCACAACAACCATCGACTCAAGCTAACTTTGTGCCATGTCACACTAGTGGACCAACAAGGAGGCATAATTCATATTACAGGGCAAACACGGTGAGCGATATGTTTCCCAGCCTACAATGTAAACAATTAGAGCATGCAACAGGGAACTTTGGTGATGGGAATTATGCAGAAAGGTCACTTTGTGCAAAAAGGGTACGTTTTGCTCAAACAGCCAAACCTTAGTACACATATAGGAAGACTTTTCTGTATGACTGATAGTTCCCTCTCAGTTTGAAATTAAACAGTCCACATTTTATCCTAGCATACATGCAAGGTAGGAATTATGTTTATTGAACTAGATGCAATGAGAAGGTTGTAGACACAGCTGCTCATAAACTCTAATAATTACTTAATTTAACATGACACTAAAAGGAAAGGAAATAATGTTTATCTCTCCATTAGTCATCCAGCTACTGGGCCAGACCTGCAGAGTTTAGGCAGACCACATTTTAGTTTCAGTGTGGCTTATTTTGCTGTTTCCTCTTCACTTAGTTAAACTGTAAGGTTTAATAAGGGAATACTAAAGGTTTGTATATACTTCTACATCACCTTCTTCTAAAGACTATGTCATAAAGCACAATTTATGACCTTGAAACAACATTCAGAGCAGATTCTGAAAGCAGCAGCTGAAAAACAAAGCAACAACAGAACCTCCTTAATAATATTGAAAAAATAATCAAGGGATATGTCCCTTCTTTTCACATCCATCCCTACCTTTTTTCTTTTGACTGTCACCACTGCTTAGCTGCACTGCCAAGTATCAAGACTAGGAAGGCAAAGCATTTCTCAACAGAACTTTTAAGAGCTTTGGATTCCTAATTTGGAAGCTAGACTTAACTGTCTCTAGGACTTCACCTCTAAGGGCCTCCCTGAAGAAGACATGAATCCTGCTAATTCCATATCTAGAAGAATTGGAACTTTAAGAAGTAAAAGACTTTTCTAACATAATCAGTTCTAACAGTTTACATTTGGCAAAGTAGATTGTTTTTATTTTGCAACTGGTCGGTTAGGAGATGGCAGAGGTATTTTTGCATATTGGAAAGATATAATTACTGTATAAGCAAACAAAATTTATATTTGCTATTGTGTGCTCTGATCCCACGTCAACCTGTTTTCAGACCAGACACCTGACAATCTGATAATTAAATAATACAAATAATGTTCTGGATAGTTGCAAAGTACATTTTGTTAACTGCGGAGTAGCCATCTGGCATCTCTGGACGGCTGAGTTAATTTGTATTGCATGATGCTGTATTTTTATCCAACCTCTTCTCAAAGGAAGTCTTTGTCCAGGAAACTTCAGGTGCCCACTCTTCATTTATCTCAGCCTGCGAGATAAATGAGGCTGTGGGGAATAACTGGCCCAAGGTGAGCGTCTTTTTCACACGTTCTTGAGTGCCTTGGCATTCCATTCAGAATTGAATAACCATTGCCCACAAGGACTGTAAATCCACTACTGTTCTTACGACTGCCATGTTATTCATTTCTTGCCAAGTTTCCAGTGCCTTAAGCACTTGTGTGAAAGATAGAAATGCCACAGTAGGAAATGTTACTATTTTATTTATAACATTTGTGTTATTGCCTATCAACATATGTTCTCTGGGCTGCTTATAGAACAAAAAAGGAAAATTACGTACCATATGATGAGTAAAATGCAACCAAAAATGCAACCTAGACTTGAGTCCCCCCCCCCCTTTAATTTTAGCTGGGGGTGGGTAGGGCAATTAAAATGAAGCATACTTCAGACCTTCAAAGTTATGTTTCAAAAATTCAAACTGGCCCAAAGATGTTTCAAAATCCCTTCCAAAATAAACTGGTATCCGCCTGGCACAAGGGAAGGCACCAGGCAAACCTCCCAGCTGGTGTTGTTACATAGCCAGGGTACCACCAAGGCTCTCTTGACCATTTTCTGGGGGTCTCTTTACGATGACTCCACTATATAAGGCAAGAGAAGCCAAAATCAGGCATAAGGCCTCCCTGTGTGTGGAATTTGCTGTTCAGAGAAGCTCACCTGCCACCTTCATTACAGTATTTTCATTCCAGCGTCAAGCAAAACTGATTTTGTTTTCCCAAGCATGTACAATTTAAATGTTTTTTTGCTGTTTTGGAACTTTTATACTGGTTTATTTGTTTAAGTCAAATCACTGTGGAAGCAAAGCTTGAGGGTGTTATATGTCTGCAGTAAGAACATGAACTAGCATTATTGCTTCTATTGCTATCACCAGTACATAGGAATTACACCACAGAAAACAGGGGAGGGACAAATCTCCGTCCGTCTAAGTCCCTTGCACAATACTTTAAGTCCCTTGGTATTCCCGCCAAATTCCTTCCACAGCTGCCCAAGGCACTCTGAGGGTGTCCCCCAGCGCAGCTGCTGTCACGCTCGGTATCCTTCCTCAAAGCTAACCGTCTTTGGGTGTCTCTCCCTCCCTGACTCCCGCCACCCCGCTCTTCCCGACCAAACCTCTTCCCTTCCTTCCCTCCCCGAGTCCCTCCCGCTACCTATTCCCTCAAGCTCGCCCTGCCCTGCCCTGCCCAGCCCAGCCCAGCCCGCGCCCTCGCGCTCTTCGCCTCATTGGCGCTCCCGCCCTGGGCGACTTCGCCTTCCTCCTTCGCCTGGTGCTCCCCGCGCGCGGCGGATACGCGCGGCGCTCTCCTTTTCTCCCCGCGAGTCCCTCTTTCGGTGACGTGAAGGGGCGCGCGGTGGCAGCACCTCCCCGCGCGCTGCTTAAAAAGAAGAAGAAAAGAGGGAGCGAAACATGAGAGCCCTAGTGAGCGCCAGCTCTCGCCGGCAGCAGCAGAGAAGGCATCCCCCCCAAGCAGGCTGCCCTGGCGGAATTGCAGCCTCCTTTATAGGGGACAACGGGAAGGGACGACTGGCTGCTGCCGTCTTTGCCGGCCCTTTTCCGTCCGGCGCCCGCCTCACCGGGAACCTTCGTCACCCTCAGGTCGTCGTTTGGCGCCTGGGCGCCTCTGCCGCGCGGCTTCTTAAACCTGCGGCCGCTCGCGCCGGGAGCAAGGGTGCCTCGAGCATCTTCCCCTCGCGCGGCTTTGCCCACGTGCTGTGTTTTTTTTCCCAAAGCCCCAGTCTCTCATCCCTCGACGTTGCTCCCCGCACCCGCCTGGAAGGGGGGGATTTCTCTGCCCCCACCCGTAGCCACGACACTTCATTTGTATCTCCTGCCCCCTTCGGATGTTTGCTTGTGCGTCTTAAAGACATCTTGCTCTTGGATCGCCTTAGGATTTTGTCACGCCAGCAGCAGGGGGGCTAGGACTTCGCCGAGAGGAGCCAGAAGAGGCCATGGTAGGGCTGAAGATGCTCCCGCAGAAACTGCTCCTGGTGGCCGTGGTCCTCTGTTTCTTCGAAGGGGAAGGCAAGTTTGGGGAGAACATGGGCAAGAAGAGAAGGTGCTTGAACGGCAGCCCCCCCAGGCGCCTCAAGAAGCGCGAGAGGAGGCTGATGCTCTTGGAGCCGCCCAGCGTTGGGGAGTTGATGTGCCGGGGCTTCTACCCCCGCCTCTCTTGCTGCCCCAGGGCGGAGAGCCCGGGCTTGCTGCAGATGGAGAATAACAAGGTAGGCATACCCTATGGGGCGAGGATCGGCTGCGGAACGAACGGGAGCGAGTGACGCGGTGGTCAACTTTAGGAGATTTTTTTGAGTTTGGATTTGGATGCAGGGGGCCCTTTTATGATGTGCAAGCGTAGAGGAGAGTTGACCGGTGTGGGGGGGGGATTCCTGTCCTTAGGGAAATCAAGGAGGAGAGGAACCCCAGAGGGTAAAGCAGAAGGTGAGAACAGCATCGGAACTGTGTGGGGTGAGATTTGGTGGGGCCTCGGGCTGCCACATCCACTTTGCCAAAAGTAATGGAGCCGGGATCGTGGGGGAGGTCGGAGCAGGTACTGGATGATCTTTGGGTGGGGAAGGTCAGGGTCCCGGAAGATTTAGACCTTTTTTTTTACCTGACCATGGGCGTGCCTAAAACTGCAACCCTGAACTTATCCAAGCTAATACTCTGAACGTGTGAATTCGTGTATCATCGGGTTTTTGCTCCTCTTGGGACCTCACTGGACTGGACTGGGCTACAAGAAGGGTCGTTGGAAGTTCTCTAGAAGTGGACGCTTCGGAGGGAAAAAGTTTATCCCAACACGTCCTTATTGAGCAAATGACTGTGCTTTTGTTTTGGCATTGGGCCGTTGAAAGATTAGCCCGGGTTTCTTTGCATGGTTGATGTCAAAGGACGTAGCAGTGAAAGATTCTGAGTGCCCGCAGGGATATCACAGTAAGAGAAGGAAGCGAGCATTTGCTTTCTCGCCCCTGGTATAATAATTTTTCAAAAAAATTGTGTGCGCGCCTATGCTTTCAGGTCCCTACGTCGCCTTTCTAAGGTTTCTCCTAGCCCTCTGAAACGTCATTCACAAAGTTGGAAGAAAAACTTATTCAGGGTTATGGTTCGTAACTGCTTTGGGGTCTTGAAATGAGGACGATGGAATGCCTCAAAGCAGCCTTTCCCAATCCGTCACCCCATCAATATATTTCCCATCTTCCCTGGCCACTCGCTCTGGACGATAAATAACAAGGGTACCCGTGATCAAACTCCGCCCGTTGGAAAGTGACAAAAAAAGGAACAGAGAAGGAACTTCTGCAAACCATCGTGCCAGAAGGTCCCATTTGGAAGACAGCAAAAGGAAGTTCCCGAGTAGAATCTCCTCCACCACCCCAGTCAAATCAAGGATGGATAATGGGGAGGAGAGTGGGTGGCAATGCTGCTGGTAGCGGTAAGGATACTGCCAATAAAGTCCGGAGGATTTTCTTGGAATCCCTCGGCGTCCTGGCTAACTGTAAATCAAAGGTGGCTGTGGTTTCCCGTTTGTTTTTTCTGAGGGTAGAAAAGTGTGTACGATTCTGTCCACATGTTTGGTCAGGAAGCTTCGAGTAGCAGATGGTAACTGGAAGAGCAGATGATGCCAGAAGGTTGCAAACTTTTTACGAGCTCTTCCACCGATTAAGTCAGCGCTCGCTGAGAGAAAAAGGGAGGGAAGAAGGGAGGGAGGGAGGGAGAGAGGATCCCAGTAAGTTGTTTCACTGCAGACTGGAGTGGGATAAACACCTATGGTGTGTGAGTGTCACCCTCTCTCTCAGTACGGGATAAACTGAGAATACATCTAGTGTACTGTAATCCGACACCCACCTCTCTAAATTCTGGCCCTAGACAATTTTAATATACAAGTCAATGAACAGGAACACTGCATCGCCTCTTGGTTACTCTTGGTGACATTCTAGAATCAGAATTCTAGAATTAAGAAATCCTGGAACTCAGTGATGTAAGTTTATCAGGCTATTTGTTTTAGTGGGGAGGGTGATACATCTAGAGAGGGAAACAGGATGAATAAATGTAATTGAGAATCACTGCACGTGAAATAAACAATCAGGTGTCCTGCTCCCTCTCTTCCCTACATCCTCCCTCTCCAGCTTTTAGGTTTAATTAAGAATTCCTCCATTACAACACTGCAGTTGTCAAGGTCTGAGAGCGTCTTGGAAAACTTGTGTTTCAGTCTTTCTGGCCCAAGCATTAAAAAAAAAAAATACCCAGCCTGAATCGAATTTTTATGCTCAGTTCACGGTAGATTTCACCCCCATTCTCATGTAAACAGCTTCTACGAATCAACATATGTGTCTGGGTGGTATCTCTCACTTTGTTTTGTAACAAAAAGCCATATTGCATCATTTAATTTGCTCAAGCCATGCAAATAGGGGGAAAAAATCAATAGGACAAAAAGGGGTCGACTTATCCTCCACCCCACTAAACTGCTGCCCACACACAGAGTCCTGTTGCTTATGGCAAAAGAATAACAACAACACCATTGTGTTTGTTGGTTGGTTTGCTAATGGGTGAAACTGGAGAACATCATTCTCCTTCAGTCCCCTAGTTCTGTCCAAATGTTCATGCCTTTGGAGGGAGCATTTGTCCTATCGCCTCCATTCCCAGATGAGTGAGATCTGTCTTATTAGCTGCAGGGATTTGAGCGAAGGGAACTCTATTCTTAACAGATGCAGCAGGGGTTTGGATGGATATTTTCTCTGCCTGTTTGGCCAGAGGTAGTGTTAGCAAAGCTCCTGTGTGGTAATCACATTAAAATACACACTAACTACATTCAGATAACATCCTACAGGCTCTAACTCAAACCCGCAAATGCCTGAGAGAAGCTAGGGAGGGAAATTGTCCTTAGTTTACCCTGTTAGCAATATCCCTAGTCACTATAGCAGCAATACCAACAGCATCTGCTTTGAGAACTCGCTGGAAGCCTCTGTAATAGACAAGCTTTGTTCATATGAGAAAATAAAGGTGAGAATTTTGACAATGGTCACCTTTCTAGGTATTTAAGAAACATGAACTTTGTATCTTGCTTTGAACTTTGTAGTTCTTTCATATTTGTGGCTGGTGATCTTTCAAAGCACTTCTAAGTGAATGCATGGTGTTTAGTGTACACCAGAGAACACATGCCTTTCTGAGTTGTACCATCTATATCAATAGATTACTTGGCTGTAAACATGATTTTTGCAATGAACAAAATCACACTGGCCAGAATCTTACTAGCATTCACCCGCAGTTTTCCTGGCTTGCCACAGCTAGTTGCAATTAATTGATTAGATGCTGGGACACATCTCAGCCATGTAATTGGGTACATAACAAGGCTTGTGACCAAGATGTGATTCAGCACCTCATTAATTAGCTGCAACACATTATGCAAACCTTACACAAACAACAATAGAATTCTGGCCATTCTTTCCCTTTCAAAGAGGTTTTTCTCTCAATCCCAACACTCTGCACGCATGTTTAGTAGGGACATGGGCAAAGGTCTCCTTCTCTGTCACTGCTCTAAGACTCTGGAACTCCCTCCCATGGGAGGCCGGGCTGGCCTCATCTTTGCTGTCCTTTCACAAGCATATGAAGATCTTTCTCTTCAGGCAGACTTTCATCTAAGTCAGACATCGCCAAAGTGTGCACTGTAGTGCCCTACAGCCCTTGCTCCCTGGAGCACCTCCAAATCAGCCAGAAGCAACACAGAAGCTTCTCTTTGCTTTTTTGCCAAGCCAGCGGCAGCGACAGTGCTGCTCTTCTTCCGGCTCTGGCTCCTTCGTGTACCTTCACCTCTATGAATGCCCCACACCCCCTCGCCACTCCTCCTGCTCTCTCACTATCACTGCTGCTGCCACTCAGGGCAGCCACAAGTTTGGGAACGATTGCTCTAAATGATTGGTTGAACAAGGGGATTTTTTATTGTTGTTTTACTTGTGTTTTTAATATTGCTTTTATTTATGAGTTTTAATATACGTATCTGTTTAAAGCTTTTTAAAATACTTTAATAATTTAGCATTTAATGTTGTTTCTTTTCATATTATAAGCCACCTTGGATCCTTAGGAAAAAAA